GAGAGAGAGAGAGAGAGAGAGAGAGAGAGAGAGAGAGAGAGAGAGAGAGAGAGAGAGAGAGAGAGAGAGAGAGATGTTGAGCATTTTGGCATGCCCATATGCATGCAGCCGGTACTCTGCTACGCGAACTTGACTATTCCTTTCTAAGCAACAACAACAGAGTCTAGGCTGTGTGCAAACATAAGTGCCAAACTACACTCTCTCTCAGCGCTGCCCAGAATGGAAACTGCAGAGGGCCCTCATTTCCTTTCTGGGCAGCGCCAAACATGGAATTCAATCGTGCCGTGACTTGGCATTAATTTCCTTTTTTGTTTCTTTTTTGTGGTTACACAGGAATGACCATCGCTCCGCTTTAGTTTTTCAGTGCCCGTTTCTATTTCTCCGGTGCCCAGCTTTATCTTTTTCGCGCAGAGGAATCCAGACAGTTCCAGCTCAGTCCTTAGCGATCTCCAGGATGTGCCCCCCTTCTCCATTCACGGTTTTTTTTCGGGACAACGCAGATGAAAAACGGAAAGCGTGTTGCTGATTGAACTGTGGATTGTGACAAATGGTAAAATCTGATTAGGGTAACCCACGAGATAGGTAGACAGTATAGACACTAAATTCCCAAATGCTCTGCTATATTTTTTCTACTTATCAAGTCTATATTTCACTGTGCGCAGGCGTACTTAATCACTGCTCTGTGCTGTCTGCCATCAGGATATACGGATTCTTTGTCTAATCACGAGATGGTGTGCCCAGCTTGGATGCAGCAGAGGGATGCACCCGAGAAGAAAAGGATGTATGTAAAGATCACCGACACTGACAACAATGTTTAGTGCTTGCCGGGGATAAGCGACCCGACTGCTGCCCACTGCCCTCCCAGAATACAAAGGGGGCTGTTTCTTGAAAAAAAAAGGATTGCCGACATGGTGGAGGTGGCAACCATGATAATAGTATGATGAAGGTCGATGTGGTGGTGATGATGACGATGAAATGAGCATGATGACGGAGAGGAGAAGGGTAAAAGAGAAAGGAGGACAGAGGGAATATGGGAGGCTTCAAGGCTCAGCGAGCCCCAGAAAGTCCGCCCGTGGAAAACGACATGCCGGCCCTAACCAATGGCCACGTCTCAGAAAATATGCGTTGGGCCTAAGAGAAGGCCTCACCTGAGTACACTTGGCCTGAGATTAGAGCACCGCCCAGGTTACCCTGTAGACCCTACCTCCCTGTTCGTTGCCTGGCCTGGGACAAGGGCAGTAGACAACAGAGACTGCCCCCGTACTTCGTCCTCCACACAGCTCAAACGCAAGGAGGCCATGGGAAAAGGGACATTCCGGCATTGGCAGCGGTGCAGCAATGCTGGAGCTATGGTCAACAGCTGCCATAGCTCGGCAGCGCTGAGCAGGCAGCAGGGTGGCAAAGAGTTGGGGAGATCAGGGAAGAGGAGGGCAGTGGGACCAAGGAGCACATATGTCATCAGACTCTTCAACAGCATCTGGCAAGAGGCTTGTGGGAATAGACTACCGTCTTCCCCAGAACAGAACGCACCCTGATTACGGCTGTACCGAACTGGAAATTTAGCTTGTATACATTCAGTTTTAGGGTGTGTTATGTTCGGGGGAAGACGGTAGAGTGTGTAGGTAGAGTAGGAGAGTAGTCTATGCGCACACATCACTGTCGGGCTACAACACTTGTTGTACTGATTGACAGGGGCACAAAGAGGGCTTTCATCGTCAAGGATATAGTGTTCAGCGTGCTGTGAACTTCGTGTGGTCTCGGCTTTGTAGCCCTGCTTTCTACTCGGCTTATTCATGATTCGTCTTCTGTGAGCTTTTGCATCTCAAAATTTGTGCTCTCATTGAATGGTTCCTTGCAAATATACAGGAAGTGCGGAAAAAAAAAGGAACGAAAGGAGCAAAAAGGAGAAATCAGAAAAGGTAATTTGTGAAGTGATTGACCACATGGGGATGATGACAGGACGGGACAAGCTGATAAGGATCAGAATGATCATTACAATAGTAACAACAACAATGCTGCTGCTGCTGCTGACGATGATGATGATGATGAGGAGGAGGAGGAGGAGGAGGACGACAACGACGACAACGACGACAACGACGAAAATGATGACGATGATGATGATGGTGATGATGATGGCGAGGAGGACAAGGAGGAGGACGCTGAAGCTGATATGGGCAAATTCCGCTTTACCCGAATCATACTACGGAGATTCCAGACTGTCAGAATGAATGAGCAGTTCTCATGCAAGCAGAGAGGATGGCATCTAGAGGTACACCCAAGTATGCAAAAGGGTCCAGAGAAGAAGAAGGGCAGATAACCAAGGGACCCAGGACTGGGGGGGGGGGGGGGGGGGGGGGGGGGGGGGGGGGGGGGAGGGTTGTGCAGGTGAAGAAGGGGGAGTGTGGTGAAGCAAGGGAGGTTGTGACAACGTGCGGAGGGTGCCCAGGGGTGAACACAAACCATACAGGAATTTCATCTTGCATTGCAAGCTCCTTCGCACCCGGCAGATGGATGCCAAGCACATCGAATGGAGCGGGAGGTGGACCACCTGTGTGATCGAAGTGATAATGAGTCACAATAGCTCCCACCTGCACACCACAATACATAGATTCAAGGAAAACATAAGAATCAGATAGATATACAAATAAACCGAATGTTTGCTCTCTACATAATACAGCAACTGCATTTTCACTACTTTGGGGTCCTGCTTTGCAGATTTTGACTCCAGTATTGCCTTCCCCCTGGTCCTTCCTCCTTGTCTTCCTCCTTTATATTTAAGTTCAAACTTCGAACTGAACATTTGCTCTCTACACGATTCAGCAACTGAACTTATACTACTTTGGGCCCTCTCTTTGCAGATTTTGGCTCCAGTATTGTCTTCCCCCTGGTTCTTCCTCCTTGTCTYTCCCCTGGTTGTTCCTCCTTATCTTCCTCCTCCTCTGAATTAAGTTTATATTTGATATTATAGCCATGTCCGAATCTTGCACTTGTCATGCAATGGCCTTTCTTTGCAGATTTTGGCTCCAGTATTGTCTTCCCCCTGGTTCTTCCTCCTTGTCTTTCCCCTGGTTGTTCCTCCTTATCTTCCTCCTCCTCTGAATTAAGTTTATATTTGATATTATAGCCATGTCCTAATCTTGCACTTGTCATGCAATGTCCCCGACAAGCACTCTGGTGCAAATCAATGACAGGCAAGTGATTGGTAGAACCAAGAGGGCGAACATTCCGAGGCAACCACCATACAAAACAGCTCGAATCAGCATCTCCCGAGCTCCAAACCAATAGTACAGCGATTTGAAGAACAGCAGAAGAACTCAAGGCCACCATCCTATCCAACCACAAGCAACATATTGCCTCACTCTCCCTATTGCAAGTCCACTGCTCAAGAGCATTTCACGCCGACAGTCGACAACAGGCCGGCGTCCACCTCCGTTGCAACTTTTGGAGCAGCAGAGGATGAAGTCCATTGCTGCTGAAACTCTGGACTATCGTACGGGATGGGGGATAACTCATGGCCATAATGAACAATGTGGGTCGCTACTGCAGGCGTCATCATCCCTGCATTAGAGGCTTTTTCTGTAGTGTAGACGAATGCCATATAAAACAAAACGCCTCCTTTCTCCATGTCAATTCAAGGCATCAACAAACTTGCAAAATTGGATGGACTTAGTAAACGTTCTGTTGGCAACTCCTGGGTCATTCACACGACCAAAAAACTCCCAAGCGTGTCCTTATTCCAAGCTTCTCCTTCAACCAGGAGTACTTTTCGCGGCAAGTTTTCTCCGACACGGCTGTGCACGCGCCACAGTTGTCAGGGTACGGCCTACCAGAAAATGCACGGGCTCGATTTTTTTGGGCGTGCACGGGGGAACCGCTTCAGCAAAAGGAGGTACTGGTGGTTTAAACCGCCACTACCTTTCACAGGCAAGCCGATCTGCCAAAGCCAGTGCTAGTCCACTGATGGCTCGGGCACCCCTCCCCCTACCGGGAGCCTCCCTGTTAGACTGGCCGACAGGCGAGCCCAGTTGGCTCCCGGTCACCTCAGCGGATCTTTGCTGGAGGCCTGAAACAAATTTCTGAAGCGCCAGGCGTCCTCCCCCGGCCTCGCCGAGGCAGGCGCCGCCTCGCAAAGACAAAAACGGGGCTGGTAGGCCCCTCATTTCTCCGAAAAAGAGGTGGCCGATCTTGGCCACCGATCGTCGTAGATCAGTGTCGGAGAGCAGCCGTGCCTCGTTCCGTTCAATCGGGTGAGAGCACTTCAAACTTGGAAGGGGGAGACCGTGTCACAAGTCCAACCCCCGTGAAACCCAAGCAGCCCGACGCTGCCCCGTCACCCTGGCAAGGTGTGACGACGAGCAGAGCCATCTCCTGCAATGACGAGCTGCGTTATCCCATCCCCCCACCACTGAGCCGCGCCATGGCGACGTAAGGTGCCATCAGCGCGACAGGGAATCTTCTTCCAGCGATTTCTTCTTCTTCTTCTCCTGTTCTTCTTCTTCTTCTTTCATTTCTTTTTCTTCTCTTCTCCTCCACCTCCTCCTCTTCTTCTTTTTCTTCTACCACTCTTCTTCTCTTCTTCTTCTCCTCCTATTCTTCATCCTCTCCATTGTTTTTTTCACGCACGTCAACCTCCCTGCTAGCTTATCAGCTTCTCCCGGCTGTCGTCCACTCCCGCACCCCCTTGCCCATCTACTTCGCACTCTCCCGTTGAACTTCCCCATAACCCTCTGCCGCTCAACCATCATCCTTAAAACTCCCCCCTCTTCTTCTTCATCGTCTTCGACTCCTGTTCTTTTTCTACTTCTTCCACTCCACCTCTTTTGTCCTTTTTCCTCCTCCCCTCCTCTTCCTTTTCCTCCTCTCCTCTTCTTCTCTTCTACTCCTCCTCTTCATCCTTTTTTTCAGTCTTTTTCACACACGTCTTCATCTTCGACTTGCCGAAATTCACAAATAGTTTCTCTGAAATTCTTTCCTCTTTGTGTTCCTTTTGAAACGGTTTTCACCTTTTAGCAGTAGCGGATGCAGTACCCAAGGTTCGATCCCTAGACCTCACCCTACCCAAGTACAGTATCTGTGTAGACCCCGAGAATTGAACCTGTGACCTGTGTATTCGTAGGCAGTTGGTAGGCCTGTCGTAGGTCCATAGGCAGCAGGGGTTTGATCTGTAGGTCTATAGCGTAAGAGTCTTAGTGAGTTCCGGAAGCATAGCTGTAGACCTTCTAGAAGGTAGGCAAGTGCGCAAGTGGTCAAGTGGTGAGGCAAGTGGTGGACTAAACCGCAGTGCAACAGCAGTACAACGTCGGTAGGATAGCGGTGAGTCCACAGTCAGTCAGCGGAAGGTCCGGTCAGTCCCAGTCCGGTCCAGCAAGTACCACAGGGGGACTGTGAGCACCAAGGGCCAATGGCAAAGGGCAGACCAACGAGTTTCTGAAGTATAAATCAAGAGGCAGCGCCCAGCCATTCATTCATTCCTGCGTGAGCCATGCGGAAGCGCTGCCACAGCGACTTGTGCAAGGAGGTCTGCAGATGAGCCCGGAGGACACAGTGGGCTAGAGAGAGGGAGTTAGCATAGCGATAGGTTAGATGCAGCGATAGCTGCCATAGCTGTAGTTAGTGTGCGTGTGTGTTCGAGTGTTAGAGTGACGCGTGTGGGATATCCAGGGTGATCCAGTGTATGTGAACAGTGAGATGTTTGGGCGCTGAAGTCGCCATAGCCAATTGAGAGTGAACTCGTGTCTGAAAGCCATATCTCTGAGTTTTGAGTGGCCGCATGTTGCCAGTATGCTGCGTTGCTGTTTACATGCATGAAAAGTGTGTTTGAGAACGAGTCTGATTGCACTTTCTTCTTCTCCTCCTCCTCCTCCTCCTCCTCCTTCTTCCTCTTCTTCGTCTTCTTTACCCTTTCGTTAACTGCATTCTTCTGCCTCATAGTGTTGCCTTCGATTTGCTCTGTTTGCTGCTGTTTGTCCTGTGCACGTCTGCCTTCATAATGCTGTGGCCGGTCCTGGAACACACCAGCCCAAAAGGGCCTGCAGACCTTAGAAATGATTTTTACAAAAGTCTGAAGCAGGACAGAAACCAGGGTTACCAGAGTCCCTAGGAACAACTAAGCATCCAATCTACACTTTTAGCGAGCAAACGATTGACCCAGTCAATTCCAACATTAATTAGCAGTAGGTTCTGCACACATATAGAGTATTAATACTGTATTATAGACATGAAGGCAAGCGACTTACCAGTTTCATGTTCTCAGATGCAAGGAAACGCCGAATACCCTGCAAGATCAGGAAAAGAGGCACGAAACACAGATCCCGGAAACAAAGAGCACACCCGCTCAATAACTGATTGGCAAAAGACCCTATCAAGGGCCTATCCTCATGTGCGCCCGCCCCCCCCCCTCCTCTCTTTCTTCATACCCTGTCCTGCTCAGTCCCTTCTTTTTTTTTCCATGATATGACGATAACAAAAATCATAATAAGGCAGTGAATTGCCAGTGATGTAATTTAATTAAGGCAGTCCATCTGAGGCGGCGTTGTAAGCCCGTCATTCTAAGGAAGCCTTTGACAAAATAAAATCCTTGCAACCTACATCACTCGTGCGACGCTTGGGAATTGTACCGCTTCATGTTTAGCGGATATAGATTGAAGTAAATGATATGGTATCGCAATGAACATTCGTATTACACTATGAAAATTTAGTCCAAATGATATCTATAGTACTTCCATGGACACCTCTCTCTGGATTATTTTTTTTTTTTTTTTTTTCCCGTTTGCCTCCTTGAGAACACACGGCTTCGATCTATTCGTGGGAACCGGGCGCAGCGTCCCTTGAGTTTACGTCGGAAATTGGAAAGAAACCAGATACAATAGGGCCCAGTGCGAAAACCAACCCAAAAGTTGGAAATCGGCTCCAGAGTCCCTTGCCATGCCATAATATCTATGTAATTGCTGTGCTTGAACCCAGGGCTGCAGAACCCCGCCTATTCATGCATCGTCGGTTTTTCTTATAGCGAAAATGCGATAAAAAACAAACCAACATCCATAGCACGAAGATATGGGGGTTACCGTCGGGGAAAAAAAAGGAAGTGACGACTTTGCTTCGGTAGTAGTAAGGAGAAGAGAGGCATTAACGTGTGTAGAACCAGAGAAAGTGTGAGGATCAGCAATATCAATTGCCGTTCCTTTTTTTGGGGGGGGTGTGCATTGTCTGCTTTTCCTTGGATCTTTCTTTCTACTCATATGAAACATACAGTCCTTATGGTTATGGCCCCTTCAGACACGGGAAGCACAACCCCGGTTCCGGTTCCTTTCCCTCCCATCCGCGAACAAACATTGGAAATTTACAATTGTCATGACCCCCACAGCTGCAGTCTGAGATTTCTGCAATTTTCTGAAAAAACTGCTGTCTGTTGGCCTGACTTGCTGAGATTCCCTATCTGAGTGTGTTTCGCTGTAGTGTTTGTGTGTACGAGAGGCTGTCTGATGCCTGTGGATTATTTCTTGTCTACCTTAGACTCCCATGTACAAAATTACTACAACTACTCGGGTTGGGAAAATAGTACAAATACTCAGAGATTCCCAAATGTCATCACTCTTGGAAGGACTGGATCAGGAATCTCTGTCCTTTTTCCTGTTTCCTGTTCTACCCTTTTTGTGTCCCAGGAAGGGTAGAACAGGAAAAAGGACTGGGCAGATGGGGGGTAAATTGGGTAATACATTCACATCATTGTTGGGGCGTGCACTAGCCATTAATACATCTATTTTTCCTATGGTGTGGTACGTAGCGTCAATCTGGACCGTTCCTGACCATACAATCAAGCAACTGAACCGTAAAGCAAGAGCATACTTGTGGTCGGGTGACCCAAACAAAGAGACCTGCATACCAAAGATAGCTTGGCATTACATCACAAGGAAACCAGCCGAAGGAGGTCTTGGTATCATAGACCCCAAACAGGAAACCAAAGCCTTACATTACAAGTCAAATGGATAGTCAAACTACTGACTAAACCTGGCACGGCATGGAATAAACTGGCCTTGGATAGCATTAGGGCCCTAGCACCTACAACCACACCAGCGAATATGTCCGGACTCCGGACTGTTCTGAATAACGACCAAGGAATGGAGTCCAAGAACAGGACGCAGAAATCAACGAAGAAGAACCGAGCCAAACGAAGTCAGACCCCCTGCACCATATTGGACTGCATTATTACGGATATGGCAGGAAGTCCTGCCAAGGAAAGTGGGTAGACCCAAATCCAAAGAAGAGGCACTGAGGCAAACCTTGTTAGGTAATCCGTGGGTGAGAGATGGAAGTGATCACCAACTATCCCTTAAGCCTGGAGGAAGGAGGTGGTTATCATGGATCAAACATGGAAGTTTGGAAAGTGAGCCACCTGTGGAACGAGGAGAAAAAGGACTGGATGACAGACCAGGAACTTGCCTCCCAGCTCAAAGGATGTCAAAGACGAGATGAGAACTTACAATCTATACTGTCAACTGCATCCCAGAAGGCTGGAAGGAGTTGTAAGCGAAGTCTCAACTTGGAAATCGGGTGAATGGGGAGCGAGGACGCAGGATTTAACCCCCACAAGGGCCTATCAATTCTCCCATAAACAGCAAGGGTCGGATACTTTGGCAGTGTTTACCTCCTTCCCGATTACCCCCTCCACGCAAGGCCTCTCATCTATCATGAATAAGGAGGTGGAAAGAACAGTCCTGAACCCTTTGGTACTCAGAAAAGTCAGAGTGCTGGGTTCATGGCCAAAAACAATCCTCAGAATAGATACGGCGATTCAAGACTTGGAATTTGATCCAGCAGAGTGGGCTTGGACACCAGACCGAAGCAGAAGCCTCAAAACTAAAGTCTCCATTCAGGAATACACAGTCAAGCTGGGATACAACTTACTCCTCAAAACGAAGGATCCTGAACCAACGATCAAGAACAGATGGCAGAAGTTAATAGGTCAAGACGCGAGTCAGATCCCACAAATACCATGGAAAACAATTCAAGTCAATTCGCCCAGTTAAGATCAGAAGCCTACAATGGCTCATCTCATACGTAGCTCTACCCGTCACCCAGTGGCTGCATATCAGAAGAAGCAAGAATGACCCTAACAGTTCAGATTTATGCGCGGTATGTTCAGAAAATAAACCTGAAGATATGCTACACTGCCTGATACGCTGTAGAGAGGGAGGCGACCGAATACTGGGCGAGGGCCTCGGATCTCTGGGATTCCCTCTTTTCGTCTCCCCTCCGTGAACACCCCATCCAACTCCTATGGACTAATATCCCACCTCAATTCCACAAGACAGAAAACGTGGTTAAGATCGGAATGATCAGAAAGGTAACGATGTATGTGGTCCATCTGGAAGGAAAGGTGCTGTAGAACCATTGAGAGAGACTCTCAACTCCAAGGGAGAAGGTATGGGCGGAGACAAGGACTTTGAGTCGGACGGAGATCCTGTGCAAGTGGCACAAGACGAGACAGTCCATGCCAGATGACGAAGAGCAGCAGAGAAGAGTCAAGGCAACATTCACTAAAGTGTGTGGCTTGGAAGGGGGCAAAGTTGCAGAGATAAATGACGTCCACATACGATGGAAAGACTGGCACAACTCAGAAACAGGGTGGAAAAGGCAGAGATTCCAACCAGCGGAAGGACAACATCCATCACAGATCACATAACTTTGGAGGGCGAATTCCAAGATTGCAACTCCCGTAGCTTCTCTTACCTTTCTTGCTCTTTATTATTTATATGGCAGGCTCATGTAGTGGACCTGAGAGGAAAGGTGTAAGTAAGGCAAACTGACAGTCAATC